CTGGATTTGATTCCCAGCATTCACATGGCGGTTAGCAGCTGTTTGTAATTCCAGTTCCAGGGGATCCAATGCCCACTTCTGACCTCCACTGAGATTGCATGACATGTGCATTTGCACGCATGCAGGCAATACATTAATACACATAAAATAAAAATAATGACATATTCTTAAAAATCAATTTTAAGAAAGTGGAAGTTCATTCACAGACCGGAAAATTGTATTCGCAGTGTATATTTTTTGCTTTCTTTTCGGGGATTAGAGCCCTGCCACATTGCCTTGGCCGACCTCAAACTGTCTTTTTATTCTTTGAGAATTTCACACATGAATACTATGAAATATGATCATAGGTACACTCATTTTCCCCCCAACTCCTTCTGAATGTTCTCCAACCTCTCCTTTAACTTCATGTCTTTTTTGTTGTTGTTTCGACAACCCACTAAGTGTATTTAGTGCTGTCCATATGTGTATGTGTGGGGCCATGCACTGAAGATTAGGAAATGTACCAGTGGTCGTGCCATCAAAGAAGAGTGCTTAGCCATCACCCAGCACTATCAGCTGACAATGGCTCCTCAGTGATAGGTAAGACCTGCAGAACATCTCTCCCTTCAATGGAAAAATTTTGACTGGCTTATTCTCCTGCAGGTCTTGTGCAGGTAGCCACGGCTGTTCTGAGTTCAGGAGTGCACTGGCCTTGTCGTGCCCAGATGACAGCATTTCTCAGCACCTGCCCCATCCTCAGGCTCCTGCATTCACTCCACCCCCTCTTCTCTGATGTTCCCTAAGCCTTGGCAGGGGGTGGGATGATAAAGGTGTCCCATTTATGGCTGTCCACTCTGTGTCTTATTCTCAGCACTCTGTCCAGTTCTGTGTTTCTGCAAAATGAAGCTTCATTGACCAAGGCTGAAAGTAGCCCAGGTGTATGAGTATGAACATAAATATTTAGAGGGCAACTTTACAGCATGTTCTTTCAGCAAAACAACAGAAAACAAGTTTTATCCTATGGCCTATGTCCTTCCTAGTCATGGGCCTTTCTTTGATCAGGATTAGAGTATTAGAAATGAAATGTCCTCCTGTGTTCAGGCGGGAAATCATGCCACTATTGCATAAGTGAACAAAACTTGCCTGGGTGGTTGGTACTGTAGCATGCGGGGTCAAATGGTACTTAAGACCATTGATGTCTTTTCTCTCCCATAAGCCTATGTAGCACCTTCAGATGTTCTGAAAACTAGTCAGCAAGGAGGAAGCTTCCTGGCCAGCACACACACACACACACACACACACACACACACACACACACAAAACCATATGTGTGTGTGTGTTTCCAAGCACCATGTATCGAGAATGATATATTTTGACCAAATTGTTTTTAACATCTTTGTCAAAAATAAGGTAGTTGAAGTTTGTTGTTTTATGTCGGGTCCATTGGTCTATGTGTCTCTTTTGTGACAATAGAATTCCACATTTGATATTGCAACTCTGTACTATAACTTGAAATGAAATATGGCAACTCCTGCCTCACTAATTTTACTTAGGATTTATTTTAGATTGTTTTTCTGGGTATTTTTGATTTCATGATATTTAGGATTAGTTTTCTAGTCCTGTGAACAATGTCATCAGTACTTTGATAGAGATTTTATTGATCCAGCAGATTGCTGTCAGTGGTGCAGCCATTTTCTCAATATTAATTTTATAGATCTATAAGTATGTGGACTGGATATCTTTTTTTTGTCTTTTTGAGACAAGGTCTCCCTGTAGCCCCAGCTGTCCTGGAACTTGCTATGTACATCATGTTTAGCTGTCAGCTTGATGCACCTGGAAAGAGGCAACCACAGTTGGGGAATTTTCTCCATCTGATGGACTGGTGGACATGTCTATGAGGCATTTTCTTGATTGTTGAGTGATGTGGAGGACCCAACCCACTATGGGTGCTGTCATTCCTGGGTACGGAGTCCTAGGTTATATAAGAAAGTGGGCTGAGGGGCTGGAGAAATGACTCAGTGGTTAAGAGCACTGATTGTTCTTGTAGAGGACTTGGGTTTGGTTCCCAGCATCCAAATGACAGCTAACAACCATACTTAGCTCCAGTTCCAGGGGTCCTGACACCATCTTCTGGCTTCCTTGGCCTTGTACAATGTGGGTGCACTTACAAACATTCAGGTAAAACACTAACGCACATAAAATTAAATTAATTTTTTCATTACAAAGAAACATGTTGAGCACAGAGCAGAGGACTAAGGCAGTGAACAGCATTCTTCTGTGGTCTGTGCTTCCATTCCTGCCTCTAGGTTCTTGCCTTGAGTTCCACCCTGACTTCCCTGGATGTTGGATTATGACCTGGGAGTTGTACCTGAAGTCACCTTTTCCTCATCAAGTTGCTCTTTTGATCATGGTGCTTTTGCACAGCAACTGTAAACAAAACTGGAACAGTATTTAATGCCATCTTCAATTTCTTTTTTCACTTTTTAAGAAGGTTTTATTGTAGAAATGATTCATCCCATTGTTTATATTAATTCCTCATTTTGTATTCTTTAAAACTGATTTACTATTTTTTCCTTAGCATGTTCATTATGGTGTATAAACCAGTCTCATTTTTTATGTTGATTTTTATATCCTATGACATTGCTGAAAGTGTTCATCAGATAAATGAGACTTCCTGGTATAGTATTTATGGTCTTTAAGAATAATATAATCTGTGAATAGGGATAATTTGACTTCTTCCTGTGATATCTGTATATCTTTTATTTTTCTTACTTTATTGATTCAGTTAAGACTCGAAGAACTGGGGCTGGAGAGAAGACTCAGCGGTTATGAACACTGACTGTTCTTACAGAAGACCCGGGTTCGAATCCCAGCACCCACATGGCACCTAACAACTGTCTGTAACTCCAGTTCCAGAGGATCCAACAGCCTCTTCTGTCCTCCACAGGCATTGCACGACACGGGTGCACTTACCTACATGCAGGCAATACTTGCATACACAGAAAAATTATTAAAAAATAGATTCAATAAACTATATGAATGAGAGTGGAATGACATGCCAACTTTGTCTCTTTCCTAATTTTAGAGGAAATACTTCAGATTTTCATCATTTGATATAATAGTGGATAAAGTTTGGTCACAAACAGACTTTATTACTTACATTGAAGAATGTTCCTTCTACTAATAGTTTTTTCAAGTTTTTTTTTTAATATCATGAAGAGATGATAAATGTTGTCAAAGATATTTTCCTGAACCTATTGAAACGATAATGTGATTTCTGTCTCTAAATATGTTTGATATATTCTATTTTCTGATATGTATACATTGAACTATCCTTGTGTCCATGGAAAGAAACCAACTTGATGATAGTATATATTTTTATAGATATGTCTAAGAATTTATCCACTTCTAGATTTTTCAGTTTTTAAGAATATATGGTTTAAAAATATTCCTTAATATCCTCCTGGATGCCTCTAATTTCTCATGTGTCATCCTATTTCCATTTTTAACTTATTAATTCGTGTGAATGTCTTCCCCCTTTTTTGGTTAATTTGGCCAGGAGTTTTTCAGTTTTGTCTATTTTTTACATAGAGCTGCCTCCTTCTTGACTCATTCTTTTGTTTCTATAGTTTCCATTTCATCAATTTCTGCACTGATCCCATTGAATCTCCCATTGTACTATTGTACTATTTTTCTTTGTTCTGGTTCTTCTAGGATCTTAGGATGCACCACTATCAAAGGTTTATTTCTTGGCTCTAATCTGATAATGAAAATATTTATATGTATTCCTCTTAGGTCTACTGTTTAAAATTATTTTTAAATTTTTAAAGATTTTTCTGAGTTTTTTTTTTTTGTGTGTGTGTGTGTGCGTGGAGGAAGGCACAAGGGCTGTGGCATGTGTTTGTAGGTCAGAGGACACCTGGCAGGAGTCAGTTCTCTCCTTCCATCATGTGGGCTCTGGGGATGGAACTCAAGTTGTCAAGCTTAGCGACAGCACCTTTGCCTAGTAAACCATCTCACCTTCCCTAGAACTGCCTTTGTTCCCACGGTCCTGACGACTTGCCCTTTCACTTTCACTTCATTCTAAGATTTTAAAAATTTATTCAATGATTTTTTTCAGTGAGCCATTGACAACCAATTTCTGTCTTTGTGTAACTAGATAATTTCTGTATTTTCTCTTCCTATTGATTTCCAATTTTATTTTACCATGATTGGATTAGATGTAAGAATAATTCCAGTTCGTTTGTACTTGTTGACACAAAATTATGACCAATAATGTGATCTGTTTTAGAGAGGTCCATGTGCTACTGAGATGAACATTGACTCCACAGCTCTTGTGCCAAATGTTCTAGAAGATCTAAGGTACATTTCAAATCTGAAACTACTTTCCTTGTTTTTCAGCTTGAATTGTCTGTATAGAGACGAATGAGATTTTGGAAATACAGTGGTGAGTAACGATGCCTTCCAAAGATGAGTGAGAATTGAAATCACCAAGTGTTATACACCGGGACCCACCTGTCCTTTGTGTGATGAAGAGTCCATTTCTCAGAAGCACTGGAGTCACTTTAGGGGAGTCCCTTCTTGATGTACTAGAGCCCATTTATTATCACTATTTGTTTTGCAGTCTGTTTTCCTGGTAGGTTCTCCCTGGCCCCAGAAACTTCCCAGTTTGTACACCTTGGGATGGCTGATGTCTAAACCAGCCATTGTCTCTTGAGTATGTTGGGATGTGAGGGAGGCAGGTGGATCACAGAAACCTGTTACTGGAGGAACAGTCTCAATGCTTTCTAATCCTGCTCAGCTCTAAATACCTTGCAGGATTAACACAGCAGTCAGGAATGTCCCTGACATTCGAAATATTCATTCTAAGATCATAGCAAATAAGTGTAATTCAGTGCTATAGATAGATAATAATTATCTACTTTTTAACTCTAGGCTCTGTATTCTAAAGGACAAATACTAACTAAAGGCATTAGAGCAAACGCATGTAAAAGGTAATTCTAAAAGGAATCAACAGCTGGTTGAGCAGGATCTGTCCACAAGATGGCAGAGCATCTCTGCTGCTGCTGAACTTATGAAGCAACTTTTTGGTTTACTTCTCTAAGAGTAGGCTGCAGACAGGAGCTGCCTATGCTGATAGCTTAGGAGAACCCGCTGTCCTGTGGAGGTAGAAAGAGGTGACTTGACAGCAGAAGCATCTTGTCTGGCTGGTGGCCACAGTCCCAAGTGGTGCAATGAAGACACTGAAGGGAACTTTGTTCCTGTGCTTGTGGCTGCGGCTGGACTGTGAGTTGAAGGCTTCTGGGACATAAGTGCTCAGTAATGTTCACTGTTAAGTGTGAGGAGCAGACTGGCCTTCACCAGATTGTAAGACAAAAGCAAAGTCTGGAGGATGATGCCTGATGTTCTTCCTGATGCTTCCTTTTACACAGGTGTGAGCAGAGGAGAGCAACTGGAGCAGCATCCTTCTTTCCTGAATGTCCAGGAGGGAGACAGCTCTGTCATCAACTGCACCTACACAGACAGTGCCTCTTACTACTTTTACTGGTACAAGCAGGAGCCTGGGGCAGGTCTCCAGTTCCTTATAAATATTCCTCCCAATGTGGACAGAAAAGAAGATCAGAGACTCATTGTCCTATTGAATAAGAAGGACAAACATCTCTCCCTGCACATCACAGCTGCCCATCCTGGGGACTCAGCCACATACGTCTGTGCAGTAAGTGCACAGTGCTCCCCAGACACCTGCTGCCTGCACCCAAACCTGAGACCAGGACTGGAGACAGATATTAATTTCCACCCTAGAGGTCATGACTTTTCTGTATTGTATTCTTAATAGATGAACATTTTAAAATATCCTGAAATCCTGACTCAAAAAGATACACTGACAGTCAGAACATTCTGAATTAACTCTTGATGAGAGTGAGTTCTTAGATGTCAAGGCTTGAGAATCGACTTCCAGGGGTCATTCCTTCTTCTCAGTGCAATTTCTCCTTAGGAAGGGTTGGGGTTTCTTCCCCATGTCTCTGCTGGAATTTTGCTTTGTTGAGCTTGCATGGGACTTATTTGTGCTGTCACCATTGTCCTGAGTTTATATGAGTAAACTGACCAGCTGTCTGGAAGACTCTGTTTCCTTGTGGTCCTCCACCACCTCTGGCTCTTACAGTATCTCCACTCTTTCTTTTACAATGCTCACAAGGCTCAAGAGTCTTAAATCCTAAAGACACGTTGGAAGAATGTTATTTCAGGAAACAAACAATGCTCTTTTCATTAGTCAGGATGACATTATACAGTGTGCTTTGTTAGTGGTTTGGTAATAACTGTGGAATGCAATGCTGTTGATTAATTTGGAATTCAGAAATCTAAACACTCTTACACCTTACTGAGATTGTTGGCAAAGTCACCCAAACAGACCCCATACAAGGACATTATGACAGCCAATCCAATTCTCTGTCTCAAATACATGTACATGCCTATACTTACATCTAAACTCTCATTTGGTGAAATCGAGTTGGAAGCGACATGGCCCTGGTGCCAGGGTCAGATGCTGGAGATGAGGCATACCCTAGAGGGCCCTGTTTAGAAGAGGTTTCTTCATGTTTACTGGGTGGTTGGACGCTCACTGTCCCTTGTTCTCTTTGTGTGCCATGCTTTCTTTTCACTTGTGAGAAAGGGTGACAGTCAAAAACAGCAAAACCTCTTCAAAGGATCCTAAGAAACAAGAGAAGGATAAGCCAGAAGCATCAAACTGCACGGGCTTTGTATTTACATGGTAGAAGTAAAGAGTTTTGGTGCTCAGTGATGCAAAGTTGAGTTTGAAGTAGGTTAAGCATAGGGAATAGTTTAGCATCTTGATTTGGGTTATGCACACATTCCTCCTCTTTTAACAATGTGCTTGGCAATCTAAGACCCTCACCTGCATCCACTATGCACATACACCCCTCTTTTAACAATGCACCTAGCAAACCGGGACCCCCCACCTGCTTCAAGTGTATGTGTATGTGTGTGTTTATGTATGTGTGTGTGCATATCTATATCTATCCACCTATCTATATATAAATGAAAAGGGAAAATACATGAATTTGAGAGGGAGATGGGGGATATAGAAGGGGCACAGGAGGATTTGCAGTATTTGAGTCAGAGGTGGAAAAGAAATATACATACTGCTTACATATGAAATTCTCCAAACATTTTAAAATGTAATTTTTTCATAAATGTTCCCATTTTTATTTTTAATACATTTGTTAAATCTTATTCAATTTTTCATTAAAATTTTTGTTCAATGGCAAAAAAAACCTGAAGCTTTTGTCACCTTCTATCGACTCTTCCTTTAGGTAATAGCACTTAAGATTGGGGGTGTCTATATACCACAGCCTCACACTTCAAAATGCCAAAAATTCTTGCTAAAAGTGCCTCCTTCTGCCTTTAAATTAGCCAATCAGGTTTTGTTTGTGGGATTGTAACTCGACCAATGGGGAACAGTCAAGCTCTCTTTTATGGCATCTTAACAAGGAGTGCTTGCTACTTTGTTCTTCTGAGATTTACAACCTGCTGTTCAGAAAAAAGTTGCCTTGCCTAGATGCCTTCCATTGGAGTGAAGTTCTCTTATTTGAGGCTCCAAATTTGTTTCTATCTCTTATTTGTTTTTTGTTTGTTTGTTGTAGACATTGACTCCCATAGCCGAAGTCAGCCTGGAACTCACTATGTAGACCAGGCTGGCCTTGATCACACAGAGATACACCTGCCACCTCTTCCAAAGCGCTGGAATTAAAAGCCTGTGCCACCGGGGCCGGCATCCAAATTTATTTCTAAGAAATAAAAATGAAGAAAGGGAACTGGGTGACAGGATAAGGTGCGTCAAATGCTATGACAGATCAAAATAGAAAAAAAAGTGGAAGTGGAGTTATTGAACTGTACATTTGAAAAGTCAAAGTTGACGCTGGACTAAAGTTGTTTCAGTGCTGGTTGGAGGAATGAAACTCTGATTGTGGTGGTTTTAAGACAAAATAGACACTAGGGATTAGATGTAGAAGATTTCTAAATTAGAAGAAAAAAGGGACAAATTGATGGTCACATGTAAAAGAATGAAGTTATTCTTTTTTATGCAATACGTAAAAGGTAAGCAAGTCTAAATGAATCTTAGACTTGAAACGTTAAAAGCTATTAAACAGACATGAACAAACAGAAGGAGGGGATAATTCCTCATGACATGGGGTTGGACAAATCAATTTGGGCAAGCAAAATGTTCATGCTTTAAAATACATAATCAATGACACAGAAAGGAATCCAAAATGGGAGAAATATTTATAAATCATTTATATAACACAACTCCAACCATAATGCAAAGCAGCTCCATACCTCAGTGATAAAACTGCAAATGGGCTAGAGAGATGGCTCAGCAGTTAAGAACACTGGGTGTTCTTGCAGAAGACCCAGGTTCAAATCCCAGCACCCACATGGCAGCTAACAACTTTCTGTAACTCCAGTTCCAGGGGATCTGACAGCCTCTTCTGTCCTCTGCGGGCACGGCACAACACGGGTACATTTACCTACATGCAGGCATAACACTAATACACATAAAATAAAAATAATAAGTAAAACATTTTAAAAAATGCAAACAAACCAGTTTAAAGGTGGGCAAAGATGTGGACAGATGCCAAGGATGGTGTGGAAGCATCCAATAAGCACCCAAAAGGACACTGGACATTATCAGGGTTTACAAAACGATCAAAATTTCAGTGGGATGCACTTCACTCTGTTGAAATAGGTAGTATAAAACAGAGTAAATAAAAACAGAGTAGTAACATAACAAGCATTATCCAAAGTGTGTAGAAATTATCATCCCTGTGCCTTGCTCATGGGATGGAAAAACACTGCAGCTACCTTGGGAAACATGATTCCTCTCCCACTACAATACTAACGAGGAATGAAAATGCATACCACATAAAAAGTACAGACAAGTGTTTATGCCTGCGTTATTCACAGCAGCTTAAAGTGGAAACTACCCAGGAGCTATCTCTTGATGAATGGAGAAATGCAACCTATCCAGTCAACGGAATGCGAATCATCAGTGTAAAGAAATGCCATTCTGATTCATGCTACAAACTGATGAACTTTGAAATACATGAAAAGAAGTGAGAAATGCCCCCTACTATGTACCATATACAATGCATGGTTGTGTCTGTGTCGTATCTAGTACAGGTAACTCTAAAACGAAGTGAACTTCTCTGTGTGCATAGATGTCTAGGTTTCAGGTAGCGAGAGTGGGAGGGGGTGGGTGGAAGAAACTGTTTCTGGGTATGGAGTTTATTTTAAGGGGTGAGGAAATTTGTTAAAAGAGATGCGACGATCTATGAATTGTTCTGTGAGTACACTAATGAGATTGAACTGTAAGCTTTGACTGAATTGTACAATATATGAACTGCATTTCAATAGAAATTTTTATAATACAAAGCTCTAATGGATGAAAAACAGTCTATTCTAAGTCTGAAAGTAGCTATAAAGGAAAATATCCCTGAAGCTTTACCTTCCTGTCTTATGAGATTCTGCCCACCTCTATGTCTGTCATTTTGCTGAACCCTCACTGTCTCCTGCCTAGAGCTTTTCACAGCCTGTTCACTAGTCCTCCACCTTCCATGCTGGAATGCAATCTGTGCTGTGTTGTGCAAACAGTGGCCATTCGTCTTTCTAAAATATAAAAGAAAGGAGAATGTGATGTTTGCTCAAATCAAAGAAACAGCAGCAGGAGCAGCAGCAAAACCATCTGCCCACCATCAATCCAATCATTTTCCATTTCATTCAGGATAAAAAAAAAATCAAAGCTCTCAGGCTGGAGAGATAGCTGTCGTCAAAGCACTTCCCACACCTGACCTTGGTCCCGCAGAGATCATAAAAAAAAAGGCTGTTGGGACACAGGCTTGTAACCCTAGTTTGTAGGGTGCGGGGATAAGAGGAGGCAGAGACAGAAGGGTTCTGGCGGTTGTTGGTTAGTCAGCACAGCCTACTTAGCAAGCTTCAGACCAATGACCGACTCTATCTAAAAAGAAAAATGGTGGATATGACTGGGGAAGAATAGGCAAAGTCCTTCTCTGGCATTCGTACACACGTGTACATAGTAGTACACATACACATATGTGCACCTGCACACACATGCACACACCGAGAAATAAAACTCTTACACCAACTTAAACACTTTGTGTGGTGTGGGAACTGTGTGTAAGAATGCCTGTTTATTCCATTCATCCTTTCTCCTGGACCTTTTCAGTTGATGCTTTTCTGTTCCTAGAACATGATTCCCCAGAATGCGCAAGCACATCTTTTCAAATTTTGCTCACATTGTCCTCAATGAGGTCTCCCCTAACCACCACATATCATGGTGGCTATTTTTTAGTGTCCATCATAAACTTTTCATCTGCATATGGAACTTGTACTCTTCCTGGAAATCAGTGGATGCATTTCTTAGAATATTATTAGAATTCTTTTAAATTTGTGTGTGGGGGGTGTGAGTGCATGTTCATATGAACGTGGACAGGCATTTGTCATGGCATGTGTGGAGGTCAGAGGACAACCTCTAGTACTGGTGTTTGCCATCCACCTTGTTTGACACAGGGTCTCTTTTTCTCTACCATGCACTCCAGGCTAAGTGCCCTGAACTTCCTGGGACTCAGGTCTCCTGTTTCTACCTCCATGTAGTTCTAGGAGCACGGGGATTACAGACACATGATTTACATAGGTTCTGAGGATCCAAACTCAGGTCCTTGTGCTTCTGTGGCAGTAGATTAGTGCTTGGTGCTAATAAATACTAACCCATTCTTAAATGAGAACATTAGACTTCTAATTTACATGTGTTTGGGATGGCATTACCATTCAACTATGAGGTGGTGATTATATCAGTATGGAGAACTGGAGGGCTCATTTTCTTTCAGTTACAAGAAAACTGCACTTTTCCTAGGATCTGCCAATATTGTGCCCTTTCATTGACTTTGCATGTGCTAGGTATGGTCAGTACCCAGAAACTGTAAAAGGAATCAGTACTTCAGTAACCTGAAAGCCAGCATGAATTTCAGGTCATTGTTTAATTTTGATATGTTCCCATCTTCAGTCTCTAACGTGATTCCATCTCCATCTGACTTCTGGATGTCTGTGTAAATCTGACCGCTCTAGATGATCTTTACTCTTCTTCCGCCTGTGGATTTTAGTTTATTCCCTTTTATACTGTTGTTGCTCTTTTAGTTAGAGGGAAATTTGAAAGAGACAGGAAACTTTTTCTATAATTTATCTATCTATCTGTCTATCTATCTATCATCTATCTATCAATCAATCTATCTATCATCTGTCTATCATCTATCTATCTTCTATCTAATCTATCATCTATATCTATCAACGATCTATCAATCAATCAATCAATCAATCAATCAATCTATATCTATCATCTATCATCTGTCTATCATCTATCATCAGTACACACACACACACACACACACACACACACACACACACACACAAAGGAATTAAAGTCCACAGTCATAGACTAAACTTTTACAAATGGGTAGCACTGGTAATCCTTCCCAAGAAAGATAATCTCTACAGGAAGGAAAGGTAAATGAAGAACCAAGGAAAGAACTCCATTCTTTCCTGAAGTCTTCTGACTTCGTCAAAGCTTTCCAGAGGAAAAGGCAAACCTTTCATGTCAAGGTTTCTGATTCTTTTCTTAGAGGACAGTAATTCCTTTGGATGTGAATGGTTCGGTTCAGTAGTTATAGCTACTCTAGCTCTAGGAGTAGAACCTTCCCATCTAGAGTTAGAACTTGGTAGCACAGAGACACTACTCACTTTATGGTCCCTTTCTTTCCCTCTCTGATGCACAGGATCCACCAAGGGAGATATCTCTACCATCATGCGTCACCACCAGGGCCGTATTGACCATTCAAACTCAGCCCGAGGCATCAGATCTCATTCTAAAGATACATGGACTGGGATCTGAAGTCTGATGTACATTTCATAGACTGGTTTCTAAATGAAATAACCTATTATTTTATTAATTATAAGCCATCCAATTTCGAGTGGACTCTACGCCTAATATGCCACCATGTATTTGGAAAAGAAACAACATGTTTTGTGAGTTTTGATATGATCTGCAAAACAGAAGGAGCTCACCAGGGGAGCAGGCTGAGGACACTCAGAACCTTGAGTTCCTCGTCTGGCCTCCAGAGGGCGGTGCTGCACTCGTTAGAGATTTTACTTCCAGTGAAGGTCTTCATCATCTATTCATTTCTCATGCTTGCAATTGGCTGACTTTTTAGCAGAGACAAGTGGCAAAAATCAAAAACCTTCCAGATTCATCGAGCATCTTCTATGCGTCTATCTGAGCAAGAGACTTGTCCAGCTGAACTTACTCCACATCTCCCATTGTCACGCTCTTGCTTCCTTCAGCCCCTTTCCTGCCTGTTCCGGGAAGACCTTCCACAACAGAGCCCGCAGCCTTTCCAGCTCTCAGCCATGCACCTGCTGCTCCTCCCTGTGCTGGGGATGCATTTTATGCTGCGTAAGTACAGCTTCCCTGTGGTCTCCGCAGCCTCCGATTCTGTAGAAATGCTGACTGTCTGTAGAGAGGTCTGCACAGGAGTTACTGACCAAACATTCCTTTGCAGGAGACGCCGGAGCCCAGTCAGTGACTCAGCCTGATGCCCATGTCACTGTCTCTGAAGCAGCAGCTCTGGAGTTGAGATGCACCTATTCCTATGGTGGAACACCGTATCTCTTCTGGTACGTCCAGTATCCCAGCCAGAGCCCCCAGCTTCTCCTTAAGTACTTTTCAGGAGACTCCTTGGTTCAAGGCGTGAAAGGCTTTCAGGCTGAGTTTAAGAAGACCAACTCTTCCTTCCACCTGAGGAAAGCCTCTGTGCATTGGAGCGACTCTGCTATGTACTTCTGTGCTTTGAGTGACACAGTGTCTGAGGCTGCAGGGGGAGCTGAACACAAACACCCATGACGGTTGAGTTCTCAGACTCGAAGGTGATGCCTTATTATTTAGAAGCACTTGTCACAAAGGGATGAGGACCTCTTCCCCAGAACCCACATAAGGTTGGCTACAGTAGCATGGGAATCTAATCCCACTGCTTCTAGGATATGATTGGAGGCAGCCACAAGAGAATAGACCCCTGGGATGCTCACAGGGCAGTGAGCATAAAGTATACACCTCAGACACTCCTTGTGGTCTTTGAAGGATCTCTTTCTACTTCATGACAAATGAGGGTAGGAATTAGAGATCTGCCAGGCATCCTTACACATTTCCTCATTTCCTACTGAAATATCATCCACCTGATGACTTTAGTTTCAGATACAGTTTGCTTACTGCCAGAATTATCTAATGCTCAGTTGGTAGTGCTGTAGAATGGAGGAGTCAGGGTTGTTACCCATGATAATCATGTACACAGAATTTGACTTGAGGTTGACTGCACTAAAGGCTGAATGTGTGAGCTGAGACCTGACATGAGTAGCTGGACTTTTGTTTATCATTTTATCTCTTGACTATCACAGAAAGCAAAAGGTATATTCTTTATGTTTTTGCCCCTTTAAGCTTGCTGTCTTCTCTGGTGAGCTTTTCATTATGACTTTCCTAGAAATTCTGTTTCTGGAACTAAATGTGCTGATCAAAATTTATCAAAACAGTTTGCCTGGGTTTAAGTTATTCTGTTTAGGAAAGTTAAGTTACTTTTGTATTGTTAGTAAATACAAGAATTGACCAGAACCATGAAAAAGATGTTTAAATCTGTTACATTAGTTATAGCAACCATTTAAGAATAGTGTAGAGACATCTTTGTTTGATTAATTACCATCTTGGGTTGCTATCTGAAGATGGAAACCACAAGATCTGTAAAACAGACATGTTCTTAGATTCCAAGAATGCATCCTTGATGCCAGGCAGTTCCTGCTGACAGAAGTATAGATTCCATTCAGATTGCTAAACAAAATGATGATACTCTCTAAAGCCAGATTGACATAGAGCTTGTATCTAAGTATCTGATGCTCTGAAAATGAAAGGTAAAACCTCTTCTAAAGGTTTTGCCTACTAGCATCAAGATCAAAAGGAGCCTGGGGGAAGGTGGGTCTCTTGGCTAGTCAGTGGCTACCAGCACTGACCTATTCATTTGTTTGATGCTTGGCGATTTATAGTTGACCAAGGAATTTGGCATCATGAGATTGCTGAAGTCCTTAAAGGAGTCTTCAGACTTCAAAGGCTTTCCATCTCAGAGCTCCCGGACAACTGTCTTGATATGTGGATCTTGCACACGCTCCTTAGAAGGAATTTATATAAGGGAGATGGACTGCTCTAGATTGAGCTATTCAAATGAGAAGGTGTCAGATGCCCTGGAAGAGGACTGGCAGGCAATTGTGAGCCACTGGATGTGTGTGCTGGGAACAGAGCCCAGGTCTTCTAAAGACCAGCAAAGACTTCCGCTATATCTTCTGTGTAAAAGCATATACTTCCTAAATGGTAACTTCTTAAAGAAACAGAATAATGAAAATGATTTTCTCTGCAAATGCACAGCTTGTTTGAAACTGCTTGCACATGTAGGCTTTTATACAAAGCAACTGCACTTAAAATTTTTGCTTTTATACAAAGCTACTGCATTTAAAATTTTTGTTTTTATACAAAGCTACTGCATTTAAAATTTTTGCTTTCCTAGGAAGGTTTCATTCACATTTGGGTGGTTTTTCATCCCAAACACTGGTGATGACACCACAGGAGAGTGGCAGAATCGAAAATATATAAATGAATCATGAACAGTAAAGTATGGAAAAAGTAGTGTGTTATAAGGGGATATAAGTAATTTCTATTTTGATTGACAGCAGAAGCTATCTTCACTGGACTGGATTTCTTTAGCTCCCTTGCTGAACAATAGACATTGTCACCCATGAAACAGAAGAAGATTAAAACTTTGCCCTCAATTTCAGAGGATAAAAAACAAAAAAACATAGTGTAGCGAGACAGTGGGACTTCCGGTCCGGTTTCGGCGCACAGTGATCGCGGTGTTGGCTTCGGCGCACAGTGATCGCGGTGTTGGCGAACGGAGAGCGAATTAAGGATGGGTGATGTTGAGAAAGGCAAGATTTTTGTTCAGAAGTGTGCCCAATGTCACACCGTGGAAAAGAGGCAGGCACAAGACTGGACCAAATCTCCACGTTCTGTTTGGGAGGAAGAGAGGTCAGGCTGCTGGATTCTCTTACACAGATGCCAAAAAGAACAAAGGCATCACCTGGGGAGAGGACACAGTGATGGAGTACCTGGGGAATCCCAAAAAAGTACATCCCTGGAACAAAAATGATCTTCGCCGGGATTAAGAAGAAGGGAGAGAGGGTGGACCTAATAGCGTCTTTTAAAAAGGCAACTAATGAATAGTAGCCGATGCCTTACTTTTTACAGAACAGATGTCTCATGGCTTTTAATGCACCATACTTTAATTCATACACCAGGATTCAGATCATGAATGGCTACCTGTTTTTGTTGGACAGTCCTGATTTAAATAAGATTGACTTGTAAAGAGAATATCTTAAAAAAGACTCCACTTCCATAAATATCACTGCTATCCCTTTCTAAGGAGATGATTGGATTTAATTAGCAATTTACAATTTTTCACAAAAATGGAGAATGCTTCCTCAAAACCTATTGAAGACTGGTTTTATACTCAGATTTATATAACTGGTTACAAGCATATGTTTTAACCCTCAGGGAAATTCTCTTCAGTGTCTCAGAACTGGGCAAGACTCACCTTTCTTTGCATTTGTATTCCCTTGCCTGTTATAGGCAGTGCTTAATGGTAAGGAAGCAGCTGTCTGTATTATATTGTTCTTACTCTGCCAATTTAATTAGATTTCCCTATATCAAAAGATGCTGCCTTTTACTACCAAAAGGCATTTTAGTGCGGTTTTTATATAACATCAAATAAAGGATATTTAACACTTCTCAAAAGAAAGAATAGTGTAGAAAATGAGTGAAGAATTTGAGTTCATCGTTATTTTTTTCAAAGACTCCCTCACAGTTATAAAAGTAGTATGTTATTTTTTGACATCTTAACTTCTTCCCATCTCCTTGAGAATTTGTAGTCTGATCCTTCTGTATTTTCTCACTACTCACTGCCTTCCCTCTGGTCTTCTATCATTTCACTGACAAAAATTTACTGTCAAATTCACATGAACTCTTCTGGTTAACACTGGTTGCCCTGGTGAGAATACCGATGAGAGTTGCAGTGACTATTGGGGCTCACTGGATCCTGTGCAAATGTTTTTCATTCCTTGTAATTGAAAAAATTGCAGAAGAAACTTTTATGTTCGTCTACGAATATCCCGGGAGAAGGGCTATCCTGGGAATATCATACAGAGAAGGGAAGGAAGAAGTTTCTTAGCTGCTGCTTGGCTGATAAACAGAAGTAAGAAAATAGGTTTGAACACTTGAAGCCAAAAGACCAAGTCAACTGTGGCCAGCGTGGCACCTTTTCCATTACAGAAAAAAATGATCAGCAGCATTTTTGAGGACACAGTGAGATGGAAAATGTCCTTGAGTGACTGCTGGAGGGTCATAAGGAAGACTGAGGGGTCAGTAGAGACAAATTTCTGAAGCAGAACTGATGGCTCATTTGATCGCTCCCTTCTCCCCTCTCGTCTGGTTTTGGACCACCCTCTTCTGCCTTGGGAAGGTGGCTAATTTCCTAAGTGTCAAAGTCTTTAGCTCTATCACATTTTGAAAGGACAGTGATGGTTTCTTTACGGAAATTGTTACACAATGGAAAATTGCCAGTTTGTTTTGATCATGAAATCAAGCTGAGTATTCATGAAAAATAAGTCCCGACACCCAGGCCTCCAAAGCATCTGAGAGTACTTCCCGGTCCTCCAGCCCCAACTCTTCCTAAGAAGCAGACAAATATCTCTTTTGTTAGTTCAGTTGTCCTTTATTTCTTCTGTTGTTAATTATGGGTCATTTCATATGATTATGTGAATTTTATGAAACATTTCAAAATTAGAAATTAACCATTAATGATCCTTACTTTTCAGAATCCTAACTTCATGTAATTGACTGTCTTTCCACACGTCCCTTGCAGGCTCTCCTGGGCTAACTGGGATGGAAGGCAGACTGAAGCTTGGGTCACCAGGCCAGCCACTGCAGAGACAATGCTGTCAGAAATCTCTGTGACGTAGCTGCTGCCTCAGAGCCCGTGACTAATCCTGGCATGATTGTCTGAAGCACAGTGTACCCCTCTGCTTTGCTCTGATTCGAGTTTCCCTCCCTGAATGCTTGTTCTCTATGCAGCCTGATTTTATTTAGTTCATCTCCATGACTTAAGATTCAGCCCACCTCACTGCTGCCAACCACAGTAACATCCAAGAGTTGACACCAGAATCTCACGAGTGAATTTTCTCCCTTGCTTGTGCCGTTTTCTTTACAGGAGTCAACCTATCAGCTGCTGGTGGAGCCTGGCAGTGGTGGCTGCCCGTATTTCTGCTGCCTCTGAGCTTCGGGTGTCAGTGAGAAATTTTGTCTTCAAGTAAACTAAGTGGATGGTTCCTGACGAATGACACCCAAGGTTGACCTCTGGCCCCCACATGTACATTACACGTGTTCACATTCCTCCATGTACACACACACACACACACACACACACACACACACACACAAGACAGTATCTGAGGGACAACATCCAAGTTTGTCTCTATATGTACACATACACAAGTGCATGCATACTTCCATGTACATTTGTACCTGCACACAGATGAGCACGAACACACGCACATATACAGAAAAATGCTTTAAATTAGAACACAAAGGGAATTTATCTGAAAATTGTAATATTGAGGGATTTTTCTTCCATGTAATCTTGTTAATCTCTTAATTTTAATTTTCTTTGAAATGAAAAGGCAGTGGTATTTGTAAGCAATCTAAACGCATAACTTCTGTTACCCCAAGAAATTTTCAGAGTCATTTCAAGCAGCTCACCTTCTGGAGACAAAAC